TAGGCCTATACCAATAAATGCACATCTAATTCCTAGTGAAATTACTTGTCTTCCTCAACTGATTATGCTTCTTTAATTCTTTTGATGATATGGTGATAAACCAATACATGATTATTCTAAGCTACAAGTAACTTACTATATTAAGAAAGTATTACAACCAAATGACTAGTTTTATTCCATTTGTGACTTATGTATCTTTATGTAGGCCATACATCAAGTTCAAGTTCATTTTCAATTGATGGGAATGGCTAGTAGATAAACTAGATATGCCACCAAGAATGTGTTGGAGAGTATGTTGCTCGAGCTCTTCGAAAATGTGGCCAGATACGTGTCGGATCCTTCAAAAGCAGTGTATTTTTTAAGGATCTGATATGGATGCAGCTACATTTTGGAGAATCCACACAACATAGGTTGGATGCAAGGGTCGAGCTAGAAATGAATGTACAGATTCGACTGAATCCAGTAACTTTGGTCTATATTTTATGTTTGTTATAAGAAATGCATTTAGTGTGTGTGTGTGTGTATAACTTATTAATTTAGAACTCAATAACTTAAAAAAAACTAAAATTATGAACTCATAAGTTTTAAATTTTGGCTCTGCCTCTGGTTAGATGATTGAAATCACTCTAGTCATAACTCTATCTTTAACTAGAGGTTTCGAGTCCAAGTTCAGGAAATAAACTTTTCGATAGATAGTAATCCCTGCGATCCAATTTATGTGAACATGTTTGACTGGGCACGGAGTTTAAGAAAAAATGAAGAATTTTTAAATTTGTGGTCCTAAACAAGTTAGAAAGGGGATCCAGAGTATTTGTGTGGTTATAAAAGCTTATCATTAAGGGTAGAATTATAAGTTTAAGCTAAATTATTTCTAAATTAAGAAAGGGATCATTCTTTTTGACACGGACCAAAAAGAAAATATGTTCACATAAATTAGAACAGATGAAGTATTTTATTCCCTTTAGTAAACTTATTGGCATGAATTTGAATTAACTAGGTCATTAAAAAGGGCATTTCAGTATATGAAGTATCCCGTATTTACCCAGACTCAAAAAAAGGCTGCACCGGTATAGGCAACTCACCATAATACTAGTATTAGTGGCTAATTTCACGACTCAGCGTAATCGGTCATTAAATTTCAAATATTAATTAAATCGGAAGAATACAATGAAATGCACCAGTCAAAAATATGAAGACAGTCAAAATCTTAGAAATGACCAAAGAGAAAAAAAAAAAGAATTAAGGCATTGGGATTAGTAGCACTAGTCACAATTGACATGACACATCTATATTGGAAAAAGTGTATACCAAATTCAGGACATGACGATTGATAAATAAATTGATAAATACGAAATTCTGTCTTTTTTAATATCTGTGCTAGTTTTATATGTACTTCCTCCGTCTCACAATATGTATTGTAATTTTTTTTTATGTATGCTCCTTAAGAAAATTATTTTTGATTACTTTATTATTATTAAATATTTTCTTAATTTATACATCATCTCTATCAATGACATTATTCATATTTTTACTAAATGTGAATGCAATTGATTATTAAGGGTAAAAAAGAAAAAATATAATTAATTTTATCTTGAAGTTCTAAAATGACAAATAATTTAAGACAACTATTTTAGCAACCACGACACATATTATGAGACGGAGGGAGTACTAACTAATTCAATCTACCAAAATTTGGACAGATAAAAAGATATTATAATATTTATGTCTTCAATGTGATTTTGACGCTGTTGTTTTTGTCTTTCCTATGTTTTTCGTATTATTATTATTATTATTATTATTATTATTATTATTATTATTATTATTATTATTATTATTATTATTATTATTATTATTATCTTCTCCGCCTTCGATCTCTATTATTAAATGGAAAAAATATATTATTGCTGAAACAAGAAAGAATTGAAACCTTAGATCAAAACACTATGTATGGATGTTATGAACTACTTGAACAAGAATTCTTTACGTACTGGGTTTTCTTTCGAATAGGCCCTGAAAGGCGAAGGAAGGCCGGAATGCCAATAAGCGTCTATTATATTGAATTTACCTGATAATTCCCATTTTAGAAATGTCCGTTGCCAATCCTTGGCCTATATAATGTATTTTATCTGTTGGGTTCATTATATCAGTTTTCTTACTGTTCTTGCCTTTATTATTTTCAGCATGACTTCTTCATTACTGTTTTTCTTTTTCAAATCTACTATGAATACTTTTCTTGAACCGAGGAGTGACCGAAAACAACCCTCTCTACCTCTACAAGGTAGGAGTAAGGTTTGCGTATACATTACCTCCCCATACTCCAAAGGCGGAGTCAAGATTTGAACCTTATGGGTTCGGGATTGTAATCATTTTTAAGTTACTAAATTTTAAATTAATAAGATGTACATATTCAATGAATTTCTTAAGACAAATACATGGTTTGAACAAAAGCTACTAGTTCGGCCGAACCCGTATCACGCACTCTGTCTCCGTCCCTGCCTGACCCTACACTGTGAGAACATACCGAATATATTATTATTGCTATTATTGTGATATAAACCCGAAATCTCATGATTCCCAATATAATTTATCGATCATAAAGCCACATTTTTAGTGCACAATAGATAAGATAGATAGATCTATAACGGCTATAATATTGAATAATGATATGATTCCATTGACTGATATCATATATTTCCTTTTCCTTTTGAAGTATTGATTACACATCAATCTCAAAAAATCTTTTTCCCTCTATTCTCTGTAACGTAATTCGTACGGCAAACACTGCTACGTTATGAGTTGTGAATGGTAACAATGAATTGATGTGTCATTTAGCAACGTGTCTTTATTCTTTATCCAAATCCCAATTTTTTTAATTTAATAGATTCCTTTAATTTTGCTGCCTATGTATTTTGGACTTTCTAGTGTTTAGTCATTTTCCATACATTGTCGTCTTCTTCATTCTCAACTCATTTCAACTCTAATTTAATTAAGTGGGGTTTGTTTCATTAAAGTTTGAAGTTTGTTTGTAAAGTTTTAGGGTTTGTTTGTCTGTACTTAGGTAGGGTTTGTTTCATTGCTGCAGTTGAAAAATATTTTTTTTGAAAACTAAGTAATTTTCTTACTTATTTTTTGGATTTGATTAGGTAGCAGAAAATATTTTTGAAAAATATATAATTTAAGCAAATACTATATGAGATGAAACAAGTAAAAATGGGAGACGATGGTAAGTCGGGGTCTAGGGGCCCGGGTGGCGGGGAGGATGTTAGGGGTAGGGGTGGTCAAGAGGGGGCGAGGGGGTTGGGGAGAGGGATCGGAGAGAGTGGGGCTGGGTTTGGTGAGGTGGGGTGAGGATGGGGTGGGAAAGTTTGATAAAGAGTTTTGGAAAATATTTTTTCTCCTTTTGGTAAGGAAGTTATTTTCCGCCAATTATAGGAAAAATGACTTCATAAGGAACAATATTTAAGCCAACTAAACATGGAATAATTGAAAAATATTATTTTTTCATACCAAGCGCACACTTAGTTTTAGAATTTGAACTTAATTAAGCCGCATTGCTTGCCACAATCAAAGAAATGGCGTTTCCAATCAAAAGACCGAACACAATAGGGTTCTTATGGACTCTTTAACATAGTAGCTTTTGATAATCTTTCTGTACCTTTTTATATTATTTGTTACTCATTATTTTAAAAGTTTGTTAGGTTAATGTTTCATCTTTATCTGTCTCTATCTTTTTTATTTTAACTTAGCTCTATATAAAGAGTTATAGTTCATTAATCATATAGAGCTCCTTTAACTCATTCTGCAACATGTACTCTTAATGGTATCAGAGCTCCTCTACCACGCCTCATTCTAGAGGATTTGAGCCCGTATCCGTTCGGCAACCTATACTCTTTATGGTATAAGAGCTCCTCTATGACGCCCCACTCTACACGATTTAAGTCCATATCCACTGTTGAGCATACTAGCATGTAGACTCACTATTCGACCCGTCTTGAAACAAAACAACCATTCCAGTATTTTTCCTACCGTACTTGAGACAAAAGCCCTCCACCCCACTAAAAAGTAAAGAAACCGTCATGCCTGCTTGTGACATTTTACCAAAGCGTTGAGGCTTGCAACAATAGCTACCCAAGAGATACCAGTTTGCTGTAAGCGAGTTCGGTTAGGAGGGACAAAAGAGAGATGCTTTCTATTAGTCAAACGTAGATATCGCCCCCTATGCTCCCACGGTCCGCTTACTGAGAAATAGAAAGGAAGGACCGAGAAATAGAAAGGAAGGACCCGGGAGCGGCCCGATCATCCAAGATGGAAAAGACTCACCCCAAAAACAACTGACCTTCTCCCTCTTTAAAGTTAAAGAGCAATCATGCTACTCATTTGCACATATTCAAGATGTATTAGGTTTGAGGGACCATAGCATATACACACAATGAATATGCAATAGGTATCATAGCTGTATATACTATCCATATCACCAAATGGTCCATAACATTGGCAAATTAATGAGAAAAAGTTTGGAGAGGAGTAGACAAGTTAAGAAAGGGACAGCTACAATCATATACTTATGAACTTTACCAAAGTACAAAACCCCAAAAATCAAGCGGTCCACATAGCCATCTATTAAGAACCAAACATCAATGATAACTTGAGGGAGCGGCCCGCCGAGTTTCGAACAGTGTGTCAATTCACACTCGGAGATTTCTCAACAACAAAAAACCTAGTGAGTTCCACAACTGGGGTCTGGGGGAGGGTAATGTATATGCAGTGGGAGGGTGGAGAGGCTATTTCCGATAGACCCTCGGCTAGATAATACACTCGGAAATTTCTCGATCATCGGAAAAAAACGAAAAACATCACCCTTACCCCTTATAATTGAGATTTAAATGGCAAGATTACCCCTACTCAAATCAACAGTACACAGCCTACCATTCAGAAGGCATTCAAACTAGAAATGCAAATCATAGATCATGAATGAGTTAAATGTTATCAAGAGAAAGAAATAGGGAAAAGAATTGAAATCTTATTGATAGAATGCTTGAGCTAAGAAACATAATCATATTCATCCTTCTTTCACTAAACCAATAACTACCCACTAGACATCCAATATTCCTTCCTCGGCCTCCAACGGTTTGTGTGTATGATCGTATATGTACACATTATGATCCTCATCTAACGCCATCCAGTCAGCCGCTTCTATTCTCTCTAAATATCAATTCTACATGTTCACTACTTCTCACAACTGAAGATGGATTATCCTAGGGGAAAGGCTAAAAATTTTAAAAATACAAATGGAAGAGAATGCGGGGGACGGGAAAAGAAGTTGAACAGAAATGAGGAATGAATGAATGAATAAACAAGGGTAAAAAAAAAGGAGACTAAATTTTCCCTCTGCAGACAATAGGCGCATAGCTGAATCGGCTCATAAAAGCATTTTGTCGTAGCTGTGATTATGTCACATGTATATATTGAATCCTTCTATGTGGGAGTGGAGACGGTTTTCAGAGTGATCTTGCAACTGGAATTGCAAGAGAATGCAAGGCAATAGGCAAAGAAGCACCATGAAAAATGGCAATGCACTCTTAAATGCTGTAATGCCTCACCGATGACTCCAACACCTCTGGACTTGGGCAAACCATCTCCTTCACGCGGCTACCATTTTTGTAAATCTTAAATGTAGGTACTATTCTAATATTCTCTGCTGTAGCGATTGTTGGGCTCTCTTCCACATCCACCTTCAGTAGAAAACAGAAGACAACCGTAAGTTAATATGAGTTCTCTTCGTTCCTCTCTTGTACACGTAAAAGTTCTGAATTCAGGGATATGATTGTTTACCTTGAGAAAACTTATTGAAGGGAATTTGGTGCTTAAGGTATCCAAGAAAGGGGATATCTGCTTGCATTGTAGGTTGGATGCCGCTTTAAAATGGACCACAGATGCACCTACAGTTTCCAACTGCAGTTGTTGAGTTATATAGTAAATGATAGAAGGAAGGTTAAGATAACAGATGCAGGAAAGCTTACCAGATGATGAAATCGCAGCCCGGAACTGCTGGAGACCCGAAACCAGCTCCACCTCCCCACCAAATTTCATATTGTAAACATCTTCTCCACGTGACTTCTTTAATGCAACTTGGGCATGGAACAATGATTCCGCAACCTCATTGTCATATGGAAGTTGCCTCCTCAAAACCTCGTAATCTCTCACAGCTTCCGCCCATCTTTCCAGCTATAATTCATTGTATTAGGTCAAATTTATGATCCTTTTCTCAAACAGCAGATTCTAGGAAAACATAGAGTAGTGCACCCAAGGGTGTGGCCTATTGGTCGATAAAGTGGGTTGAGAACCATGATGTCTCAGGTTCAATTATCAGCGGAGACAAAAAACACTAGGTTTCTTTCCATCTGTCCAAGCCTGGGTGGACAGAATTACCTGGTTCCTATTGGGAGGTGACAAGCATCTCGTGAAATTAATCTAGTTTCGCGCAAGCTAGCCCGGACACCACGGTTATAAAAAAAAAAGAAGGAAAACATAGAGTAGTAGTAACTAAGATTTGAAGGTGGCATGTCACCTTAGCATTTGAGGCAGCTCGTCGAAGTAGAGCTTTAGTATAATTTGGCTGGATAATGAGAGCTTGGTTGCAATCATCCAGAGATTTTTCCCACTGCCCGAGTTTATACCAGCAAGCTGCTCTATTGCAGTAGAGAACTGAATTTGAAGAATCACGCATGAGCCCTTCCCCATAAGCAGCACAAGCTTCTGTATATCTTTCAGATTTAAATAGATTGTTGCCGCGACCACGAGCTTGCCCCACCAGCCTCACATTGTTGAGTAAA